TAATTGTAAATTAGCAAAAGAGGTCCAAAATGTTTCAAATTAATGAGTTCGATGATGTATGTATGTATGAGTGTAAATATGTTTGTATGTATGTATTTGATTCGAAACTCAACTCAAACGAGTATATACATACATATACATACTGACTCTTATACACATCTAGATGTGTATAAGAGACAGGTGTTGTAATAGGCGTGGGCCACCACACTTGTACAAAGTGCAGTTAAAACGAGTATATACATACATATAGGCTATACATGCAGTATTAGCAACACTCACATAAACCCGAGTATATACATACATATACATATGTATGACATGTATTCATAACTTATCTTATTTAAATATATTTACAAATATAATAAATATTCTAAACATTCAAAAAAAACTTAATATAGAATTATGCAATTCACTTCTTTATAAAAAGGAGTATAAAAAAAACTGTTATTTTTCCAAGAAACTTTTTATCTAAATTTTTTTCTTTTTCTACATTATTTCTGCGAAATGTAGTGTTATTTTCCCTTTTTTCTTTCAGCTCACTTTATTTTTCAATTCACTTTGACCATTATTACTGTTTGGCAGGATATTCAGGCAATTGTAAGAGTTGTGTAATTTATTAGACCTTTGCTTCGTAGGATACCTCTTTGTTTCGAGAATCCCACACAGAACACTTAAAGGTTAGGTATCAAAATCTATGAATGTGCAGATATCTACTGTATACATACATACATACAAATGTATGTGGATACTTATGTATAACCAAATTCATGCACAGTAGTGTAGTTACCCTTTTCTGTGTGTCTTCTGCCGTCTTCATTCTGCCCTACAGCAGTTGCTATTTTTTTGTTCTTTGCTATTTATTGTATAATAAGAATCATGCCTATTGACTAGTTTTTCTTGGGAATCTATTTATACCACACTTTTTTGCACAAGTGCCTATGTACAATATATTAAGTTAACGAACGTTGCTCTGTCCATAGATGCAATAACAACAACACATTATTACATTTACTAAAATTTTATGATAATGGGCCTTTACATATTTAATTAATTTAGTTTTAATTAATTTTCATTGCGTGCATTGCGTGGATACTTGATATAATTTACATTCTCTTATTTATGTGTGTAATAGGTTTGTTCAAAGAACGTTTGTTTTTAAGCAGTATGTGCACCTTCACTTCAATACTCTAAAAAAATTTTCTTATATTACAATTTTTATATATATTGGTTGTCAAAAAAGTCTTACGGTATTTTTATTGAATTTTCAATTGTWCATAAAAWTTTTTTTGATRACTCATGCCCAGMTCTTGACCGATGCTACGGCTGCTACTATGCCGGTCTCTTTCGACCAATTCAGCGATTTTATCGCAATTTTCGACGACAGGCCTTCCGGAGCGTGGCGCATCTTCGACCACCTCTACACCAGAACGAAAATGTTGAAACCATCGTTGTGCGGTGGAAATGGAAACTGTATCGGGTTCATAAACTGCACAAATTTTATTGGCGGCTTGAGATGCATTTTTGCTTTTATCGTAGTAATACTGTAAAATATGCCGTATTTTCTCTTTATTTTGCTCCATGTTTGCGACGCTATAACTGACGAACGACTTAAAAGAAACGACAATCAATCAAACACGTGTTAGCGCGTGAAATGAGCTTTCCAAAAAGGTATTGCATGACCCGATGYGACGAATAAAACTAGAACTACGTGCTCTCATCGCCAACYAGCGAAAATACCGCAAGACTTTTTTGACAAACTAATATTTATAATTTGTCATGTTATAAATAGATTTTTATATACATAAGAACATTTCTTTACAATATTGAAGTGATGGTGCACATGTGGTTTGATACTCTGAGGCATATGCTCAAAATCAAAACAAATATAAATTATTATAACTGCCATAAATAACCAAAAACTCTAAATACTGTAGAGAAGATCATTACAGGGAGGGTCATCTGCGATTTGAAAATTCTTGAACAGTGGATCGACATCGGCGAAAAATTGAGCATCGGTCAAACACTACAAATTAGTACTCTAAAGGATTTGATTTAACATTTACTTCTCTGTTCATTAACATTCTCTGCTCTTGGTAGCTAGATGGCGCTCAAGTCGGGGAAGAGCCTTTATAATCCACGTTCTCTGCTTTTGACATGCTAATATACAGTCCACAATTTATTCTCGCTATATTTGACATTTTCTGCTAATATTTTGTTAGTGTTAATTTTTTTTGTAGCCCTGTTGCCATATAAATTTGCCTTGAGTATGTTTTATAACTTGGAATACGGTTGTAAATAAAAAAATAAATAAATTTCTGTGTTTGTAATTTCTAAATAACAAAGAGTTTAAATACGGTACACGGTTATAATTCTAGATAGTAGTAAATGTAAATAGTTTAATTTAATATAGAAAAAGGGCCTTCTGTTAATTCGCTAACATTTTATAGTCACACATTTTTTTACGCTTCCGCCAAACGGAAAATTGCATTATTGAAACGTCAACAACGCTAATAGATAACGTCTAAAATAAATAATAATAAATCCAACATTACTGCAACGGGTCGTACATTGTGAAGGCAGTAAGTTGTTTCGCGTAACTTTCTGTTGGCGCAATCTATAAAATGTCGAGCTTTCGCAAACGGCATGTGCAAAAACCAGTACCAGGCACACGGACTAGTCCGCAAACAGGACAGATAATAACTTCCAGTGGAAATCCATCGTTTGATGTTATTTTTGGTAAGAAATAAAGTAATTAAAATAATATTAATGTAAAACTAGTTACGAATTTTTAGGAGGTGGCTTGCCTGTTGGCTCAATATGTCTAATTGGTAACGTTGATCATCTAATAAATTTAGCGAAAATAAGGACTGTATTTCTTCTTTTTATGATATAGAGGAAGATAAGTTCGTAACATTTTCAAAGGTTTTAGCGAAATACTTTATTGCGGAAGGAGTAGTTTCAGGACAGTCGGTTTTATTAGGAAGTTTGGATGATGATCCACAGGAATTAATACGCAAATTGCCAAAACCACTCAATGATGATGAAGTGGAAATTGAAAAATCTACCGAGCAAGAAAACGGTGTGTCCTCTCAAAATGGTTTACGAATTGCATGGCGCTACAATGATCTTCCACCAGTAAATTCGGAACAAATACCTTGTAAAATAGGGCACCATTTTAATTTGATGGAGCATATGGATAAAAATTTGCTAGACTTTGTCGACACTCTATTGTGGAATGGAAATTCATATGTTAATTCAGATGAAGTAGACGATGATTATGATTGTGGGTTAGGTGATGAGGATAATGTATTTTCCGCGGTTGAATCAAATGCAGAGTTCAAAGATTATACTGATCAAAATGCGACGAGTAGCAGTAGTGGAAGCAACATCAGTTGCAAAGAAGTTGATTTAGAACAGGAAAGAATTAATGCTGCAGCAGCTCTACTRTCCGGTAATTCCAATGAAACTCCCCGGATTCAAAATTCAACTAAACTGCAAATCGATGCTGTGCAGGCTCCTACTATTTTAGGCCAAAAACAAAATAATAATTGTGAAAAAATCTTTAATAATTCGAAATATCAACGTTTTCTTAAATTAGTTCAATCATTTGCCAAGGAGGAAAAATTTTCATCGAGTACATTGGTTTATCGTAGCCTTTGTCGTATCTGCATTACATCACTGGGATCGCCACTTTGGTATGATGAAGAATTTCCGAAAAACATTTTAAAATTTCTAACAGTGTTAAGAGGCATAGTAAGGAACTCAGTGTCGGTTTGTTTTATCACTATGCCTATGCATTTGATATCTAAATATGTAAGTATAACTACTGGATAATTATCGCAGAAACTAATAGTAAAATTTTAATTAAGGATGAGTCGCTTGTTCCCAAAATACGGAACTTGGTGGACTACGCCATCGAATTAGAATCATTTAGCGGATCTGAACATGAAACCAACAACGCTTTTAAAGAATACAGCGGTCTAATACATTTACATAAAATTACAGCTGTTAATACACTTACTGCCTATATGCCAGAAACTTCGGATTTAGCATTTAAGTTACGTCGAAAGAAGTTCGTCATTGAAAAGCTTCATTTGCCACCAGGTAATTTATATTTATTTTGAAATGGATTTATTATTTAAAAACAAACTTTCTTTTTCTACTATAGAAATGCAAGACGATATCAAAGAAAATATGCAAACATTTAGTTGCAGTGGCGGATCTTCAGCCAGTGCTACGGCAATGGATTTTTAAGTTCACTAYTTTTTGCTATGCAAATACAAACTCGTTTAACAAAAGGAAAAAAAGTATATTGGTTCTTTGTTGCAGCATAACAACGAAAAATGCAAACTTTCAAAATGTGCAGATATAAATAATTTTTTTTTTGTCTGCCGTTATATAAAATAAAGCCAACGGTGTGTTTTTTCAACAAACAA